TGGTGAAATGAGACGTAACCGTGATAAATACAAAGCCAGAAGTTTTTGTATTATATTTTATATTGAATTAACAATGGTATAATTTTTTCTCTAATTGTTTGTTTAACCCAAATTATTAGTGAACGCATATCAAAAAAATGTAATTAAATCCAATATGTTCATCCTTTTCAATTCCAATTCCATTTCGATAACAACGACCAACCCATAGATTCCATTAGCATCACTCTATATCAGCAGATTTTTGATAATAAATGAATGCTTTTTTATTTCCAATTCAATTTCGATATCAATAACCAACATTATATATTCCTTTTACATAACACATATCAGCGGATTTTTGATAATAAATGAATGCCTTATGCTCATCCTTTTCAACTCCAATTTTTTTCATAAGAATCACTAACTCCAAATATTCCATTAGCATCACCATATCCGCGGATTTTTGATAATAAATGAATGCTTTATTCTTATCCTTTTCAACCCATTTATCAAAACGATAAAAATTTGCAAGAATAGTTTAAGCCGTAGGATTTTATTTAATCATTCAAACACCAATTAATAATAACATCGGAATTTTGCTTCTTTTCTGCTAGAAATTGATCCAATACTTCAATAACTAATTTAAGATCTTTGTCTTTAGATCTTTCTTCATTATACAGATTACACAATTCTTTAACAATTTCACCAAGAAAATCTTGTGTCTATTATCTTTTAAATACAATTGAAAAAATTATTGGTTATTTGGTTAATATCGTCCGATGAATTACTAATTTTTGCTAGCTGTTTTACAGTTAGATTATTTGATATTTTTGACATTTTAAAGCAATGAAAAATCCGAATATATATGGGTGCTGCCAAGTGAAAACCTGACATTCTAAAAATAGATTTCTACGGACAACGGAATACGGACTTTAAATAATGCTACTATGCGATCAAAAAAATATTATTCTAGTCAGATTAGTTAAAACCCCGCATTCCGTTGTCCATAGAAATCTATTTTTAGAATGTCAGGTTTTTACTTGGCGGCACCCATTTGTAGTACAGTTGTTTTTGTATTGAACTGCGCCGCAAAGAGTTTTTTTCTGATATCTCTTGACCTAATGATCGAAATTCAACAATGTTGGTATCGTTTGAATCATCTCATCGAGACGAATCGAATGGTACCAAAATCATTAAATTCTGATCACTACATCGTAAGATAATTAAATTTTTATA